GAAATAAACCCCAAGTAACCAAAAATTTAACGAGACCCTGCACTTTGTAAAGATATGGTTTTTTATATTCTTAGAATTTTCCTTTTAGAAATGAAATACAAATTACCCCATTGGACGAAAAAAAGGAACGCCGTTACTCTTTCCGTTCCAGTAAAAATGTAACGCGTTCCCGTTCCAGTTCCAGCGATGCAAAATGGAACGCGGCGTTTCTTCGTTCCTCTTAAAAGGAACGTGTTCCAGGAACGCCGTTCCTTGGAACGCCGTTCCGTACAACACTGCCGAAAAGCCCTGGGAAAAGCTGGGCATGGATATTGTGGGCCCGATGGAACGAGCCCCTCCAGAGTGCAGATTTGCAGTAACTGTGATTGATTATCACAGTAAGTGGCCGGAGGTTTTTTTTGTGTCGTGGATAACTTCTCAGTCGGTGACGAAAGTGTTGCTGGAGCTATTCGCGAGGGAAGGATACCCAAAGAGTGTTGTCACTGACAATGGCAGACAATTTATGTCGACACAGTTTGAAGGGTTCCTACAAGACAGAGGAATTGAACACTGTGTGGCCTCGCTGTACTACCCGCAGTGCAACGGTCAAATAGAACGATTTAACCGCGTCTTAAAAGAGTATATTCAGGTGGCGGCACTGGAGCGGAGACCACTTAAAGGGACCATGAAATGATTTTAAAATCGAATTTCATCCACCGCACGTCGTAAAAGGTGTGAAAAGGAACACAAAAACACAAGACTAGGGAGCCAAAAAAAATTATTTGCTATAGAACTTTTAAAAGAAAACTGGACTCTTTTGCGACTTCTTTCCTTCGAAAGCTCTGCCTTTTCACTACGATGCATACGCAGAAACGGTGCACGTCAGCCTAATCCACATCGCCTATTGGGTAAGAGCCTACCTCACCAGCACCGCGATCGTAAACAATAAATAGCCGGCGAATGTTTCCTAAAAGTTTTGTTAAATAATATTCAGATCCACATTTTGTAGCATAATTAGAGATGTGTGGCGAAAATTGCCAAATTTGATAATGCTGAGAGCCAAGCGCCATCTATCGTGTGGTAAACGAAGCAACTACTGCGCGTGCGCAGTAGGGCAGGGCCAAGTTCAGAACGGTTATTTTGGTTTCCTTCCTCTCAAAACTCTGACTGACTGAACGTTTATTTTTCTACGTGTTCATCTCGCGCGTGCCGACTTCAAGCAGCAAGAAAGAAATGTACTTAAAGGAGCTGTGCAACGATATTCAATTGGAATGTTTTTCTCTCTACACTAGCTTACTGGCACACCTCGGACTCAAGGATACTCACACGCAACACCATTGGCCAAGAAACTCCTTTGTTGTGGTGTAATTTCAAGGACAAAAGCGATCATTTTCATTCAATCTCTCCTTTGCAAAATTTGATGACGTAACTCGGGGATCGCAGTACACCCAAGTGACGATATTTGAATGCGGTTCACAGATTGGACCCGAGCATTGCGTGGGCACTCGACTTGGGCTCGTGACAATTGCTAGCTCGAGAAGCATTCGGGTTGTGACCCGTGTCCAATCGCTGCAACGACGACAACAGCCGAGCCATAACAATGTCTGGAACTCAGCGCGTGTCCTGCGCTTTGCCAACCCCTGCGCGTGGCTATGATCAACACTGGCGGCATATAATCGGCTCCAGATCACGTGGCCGCTTGTTCTGGCTGCGAGTTGAGGGGGTGAACGCCGCTCGTTTTTCTTAAATTTTTTTCTGGGACTTCTATTGCGTGGGGTGAAAAACGAACGCGTGTTTCCTAGGTCATTAACGTTAGGGATCCGATTTAAGCGGTATTTGTGCACAGTACAAAAATTGTTGCATCGCTCCTTTAAAACAAACCACGACGAACAAGAACGCTGGATCCACAAACACCCGAGAAGAGCGACAACAGCCGCGAATCCCGCTCCGACGAAGCTCTCCGAATATAGGCCTAGCAGGCACTCCGACTTGGCGCAGCGTTGCTTCGTCGCAAGACCGTCTGCCTACGACCGGCTGGCGTACTGAATGGAATATGCCCGCGCTACCCTTGTGGACCCTTTCGTATTATAGTTTGATCGCTGACCTCAATTTTAGGTTAAGAGGTGAGGTCAATCTCTTCCCCTTGTTTTCCGAGGCAGTGTTGACGAACACTCGTCGAAAAGGGACCCTCGTCGACCCTCTCCTTGTTTTGTGTGATATAGAGCTGAAATAAACGCCGTATGGATTACCTTCGTAGCACGGTATGTACACTTTGTTATTGGTATGCCATTTTTATTCTGACAGACTGCACGCCACTGCCGAGCTGTAACAGTTCGTGGGAGGTATACGTGCAATACCGGTCCAACCTTTCTTTGCCGAGTGTCGCGTCAGTATCGAGTTGCAATTGTAAAAGATCGGTCCCGAAGCGCTTACCAACAGCGCGAATACAGCACTTCATCAAACGCGCGCGTCCGCTCCGAGTGTGAACAGGTATTTACGTGGCTCTTGCTGACAGTTCAAACGTATCTTTTTTAACGTCGGCTCGCTCCTGCATCTCCGAGACCGCGAAAAACGCCGCGGCAAATTGTTCCCATCTGCACTTCCCAACAGGCATACCGGCGTATGGGACTAGTCCCATGCTGTCGCTGTAGCGCAACGTATCTCATTGAATTTCGCTCAGCTGCGATGCGGCGATGAGAGGCGCCGATTCAGAAAATACGTCGGTGACATCGGCGCAGTAAAACCCACCGGCGCACCCCAACTCGCTCCTACTGCAGAGAGAACTTCCGGTTCCGGAAACATCGTACGTCACGGCTTGTTTTGCGGTCGAGAAAAAGTCGATATTTCATTAATTTTTTGTGTAGAAGTTAATAAACTGAGACGAAAACGGATGCCTGTTCGGCATTCAGTGAACATTGACGGTTTATTGTAAAAGTTATCTGGAAAAAGTAAAAAAGTCATTTCATGGTCCCTTTAAGGAGGCGATTCTGGAATACCTGAGTATTTACAGGGCAACTCCCCATGCGACCACCGGCATGTCTCCAGCGTTTTTGCTACACGGAAGGCGGCCACGAACAAGACTGGACGTCGTGGGACTACCGGAGAGAGGGTTTTTCGATGAACCGCGGCCTCACGTCGCCGAACTGCAACACCGTGTCAAAGAGCGACAGCAGAGGACAAAGAAATACACCGATGAAAGACGGGGTGCCAGGCACTCCATCATTGAACCCGGCGACTTCGTAAAAATAAAGAGGTGGGGAGGACCAAAAGGACAGCAGAGGTTTTCTTTGCCAATAGAAGTAAAAAAACGCGTGGGAAAAAATTCCTTCCTTTTAGACAATGGGAAGAAATGGAACGCTGCCAAATTGACAGTAGTGGCCAAAGGAGGAGCACCAGGTGCCCGGAACTTGGTAGAAAAAGTTATGGAACGACGTGGAGCGGTAAGAGACCAGTTATGCGACCTGGATTTGCCCACTGAAGAGGGGGCATCACAACTACCATCACCACGGGACGTCGCAACTGCCAGAACCCCAGAGACATTATCGCCAGGTGACGACAGCGCTACCGTCGCTACGCACGGAGCGGAAGCTGCACGGGGTGCTGAGACACTTCCAGACGCTACACTTCAGGAGACTGAAATCTTGTCGACACCAGCAGAGTCGGCGCCAGCTCCAGAGCAAGTCGAAGCGCAGGACATCTCCGGCCAACAGGAGTTGTTGACCACGGCACCGTCGTACAGCAGGCCTCAGCGACAAAGAAGAATGCCCGGAAAATACAATGATTATGTTTTACACTAGAATTATCTGTTATAGTGGTTCCAGAGCTATGTGAATAACTATAATTATTGGTGAAAGTTGTGTTCTAGTTACTGGGGTTTTGTTTGTTTAAAGGGGAAAAATATGTTGTGTATAGAGGGCGCTGAACTCATGCATTACCAATTGTATATAAGAGCATCACCATCGGCATAAAGATCAGTCAGCGTCCAGTGCCTGCCTCGTGTCAGTTCTTGTTCTGCGGCCTTCCGGCCGCGTTCGCCGGTCTACACCACAATTGCCATCGACATCACTCCTGCCATGGCTCGCAGTATCGGTGAATAAATAGAATAAATAGATAAATTACGGCGAGCAGAAGGCTTTGTGAGAGTAGCCTGTTCTGATTTTATTGACCCACAAGAAACCATAGTGGCAAAACGACGTACGTAAGAAAGAGCATGAAAGCTGCCCCGCAAATTCGTGTCACGTTGACAACAGCAGAGGTGCAATGCTGGCATGTGGTCGTGCCAAGACGTCCGTCGCGTTGGCTTTTCTGTATTGGAGATTCAGAGTTTTTTTTTTTGTTTTTTTACTTTGGGTTGGCCGGGGGTCAGTCATTGCAAGCATGGCATGTGGCAGCCGCCATACGCTCGGGTAAGCAGCACGGGCAATAGCAAGCATGCCATCACTGAGCGTGCTTGCACGCGAGGGGCTCCAGCAGTGATCGACATGAGATCTGCAGTAGAAGCTCCTACCCAAGATTAGCGACGAAAGATACTCTGTACTCATTAAGAACGCACACTTTTCCACCTTCGCAGAGTAGGACACCGCGCCATGTGCGTCTGTTTAACATCATTCGGTTGCTCGAAAATTAGGATTTTATATCCGATGGAGTCCTCCATTCGATGGCACTTAACACGTTCCACCGGGGAAAGGTTTACCTGGAGATGGCCATCGACCCATCGGCCTTCTTCCGCGTGGACGGAGCTTTGGCTTTCGTGGGCAGAGCCAGTCCTGCTTATCTCCCGTTAAAACATGTTGTATGTTATGCTGGCTGATCACGTAAATGCTACGTGCCCGCTGGACCAATTAGCCGCCTCTTTTTTGTCACCTGACCCGGCTCTCTGGGAGTGTGTATGGGCGCGAGCGTGACCACGTGGTGAAAGAGAGGCATATGACTGGTTCAACGAGGACGTAGCTTTCACCGCAGTTCTCAGCTTAGTTCTCAGCGGATATAGCTTTGGACAGGACACGTCGAAAAACGCTTACCCATTATCGACTTCGCAGCTTTCCATCTGCCAAGAGGAGGCGTATGTTTCTCAGGCTTCGAGATCGTCAGTACAGCGCTTGTGTCCAGCGTCACGTCGGTCCTCACGCTGTACCTTCCTTTGCTACGGTACTGGGTGAAGTACGCCGCGTACTCGCCGTCGTCTGCTTTCAGGTCCGCGCCTGCATAATGTCACGAAAGGCAGAAAAGGCAACGTCACTTTCGACCGCTGTATCCTGCGCACGGGTTTGTTCATTTGGAGTTGCTAATCTCATCCCTATGAATGGTGCCGACAGGACCAAGCTTTTCACGCTCGCCTGTGCTGAAAAGGTACTCTGGTGAGCTTCCAGTTACCCTAACAAATTATATAGAATAGTTCTTGGGAAATCGTCAAATGAACGTGATGCCGAAAACAACATCACCGCGTTTTTCAGTGCTGTGACGTCACTGAGAGGCAGGCGAGCAGTTCTGGCAGGCAGTGTAGAAAACAGTATGCCGCGCATTTGCTTCGTGCATCTGCGCGGCTGCTGGAGCTAGATGCGTATGAATGGAATTGGCTACAGGAGGACACATGAACGCTACTGGAGCGTTCATTTATCCTCCTGTAACTAGTTCTGAAAATATTCTACTGCCCAAAGAGTAAACCCATGCCTGCCGCTGGCATATCTCTTTTTTTTTATTGTTTCCAAGAGAAACGTTCACTGTGAAAAATAAAATATACGGCGAGAATCAAAGTTGTAAATTCAATAACGTCGCGAAGAAAAATTATTTTGGCTTAGATGTGTGTGTAAAGTTCAACAACATATGTTTGTTTCTGGGGCACTTCGTCAGCAGAAAAACTGCGGCCCGGTAAGGTCGTTATCACAGCTCCGATGGAGCCAGCCATTCTTGCGTCGACGCTCGGCGAGAGCCAGAAACAGAATGTTCTACCAAATGAGCTAACCAGAGATAAGACGTCAGTAGAGTAGTTGGTAAAGCGCTCCACTGGAAATGGAGACGTCCTGGATTGGATACCCGGACCAGGCGGATTTCTTCGGTCGCGCACCAGTAACCTAGCTGTGTATGGAGATGTATGTTTATCCTTTGTCCCTCTTGTTCCCCCTCTTCAGACATTACTTCGTCATCCTTGTCCAGCTTGCTTCCACCTTTGCATTTTGTTGCAATATAATTGAGACCGCATGTTTGACCACTCGCCATTGTGCCACTTCTTAAACTACTGTTTTAGGACTCCTTCGTGACACTCTAAATTAATTTCATTATGAACATTAAAATGTATGATAATATATAAATAAATAAATATATATATATTATATATATTATATATATATTATATATATATAGAGAGAGAGAGAGAGAGCGCGCGAGAGAGAGAGAGAGAAATATATATATATATATAAAGAAAAGAATGCCAAACTATTTTATTTTTACGATTTTTGACAAAGTTTGACGTGCTCTTTTACGTCATTTTGATGACAGTGCTAAATACGGCGATGGCTTGTACGTGCTGTGTTGCAGAGCGTGCGTCCGATGAGTTCAGAAAAACTCACAAAGTCCCGACATGTACGTAAACAAGCTGCACATTCTATGTCTCCGTAGTTAACCCCAGGACAAGGACAGATTAATTTTTACTGTGGTTTTTGATGTCATCACAAATATGATCGGAGCAAGAAAACAAAGGTTTAGTATTCTTCCTTCGCCCAGTTTTGACGTATGGCTCGGTGAAATGATGGCAATTCGAGAGCATGCACTTCTGATTCTCACATAGCTTGCAGAGCGCTGCAAGCGACGTGGTTGAGAGCAGATGTTAGAGTTGGTGAAATTTGTCAAACGAGCGAATGACTGGACAGAACGAGAAAAATTTAAGCCTATTTTATCAAAACTTGAAACGACACAAGGCCGCAATGACCAAGAAGTATTATACCTAGATATTCTTCCATAGATCCACGGTTTCTGAATGCAGTGTTTTGAAGCACATTAAATACATTGTATTTAAAGTACTACCTCAAGCATGTTTAGAAAACTTGTACTTTATTTGAATTACATTCTCTGAGCATTTACTTGTAATTTGCCTAAAGTATTCTTGCGGTACTTTCAAAGGAAAGTACAACACCCGACTTCAAAGTACACTCCAAACTTCGGTCGTTCCTGGTAAATTTATATCACAAAACGATGCTTTCTCAACAAATAAGGTTTATGACTTGATTGTGTTAAATAGTTCGTAATAGAGTAAAACAACTACTTTGCGGCCACCTGACTTTATCCTATATTGTCTGTGGTTTCCGAAAATAACTGATGCACCCCCATTACGCCAGGGACAACGCATACCAGTAAAAAAAAAATGCACTGTATAGAGGAATGATAGGGCACAATGAAAGATTGTGTCGAAAAAGTATTTGTATTTTACTTTAAAAGTATATTGTATTTATAGTATTTTACTTCAAGTACGTTGCAACCGGTGTATTTTCTACCTTACTTGAGGTCATATATTAACTCCCATTTACTTTGTACTTCAAGTACTTTTTTTGATGTGCACATCGCGACACTGTTAGCGCGAAGACGACACCGGCGTATTTTCGCGTATTACGATGAAAGATCTCGGTGTGTGCCTTGAAAGCGCGTTGTCATTTCACGGTCATGTTTCCTTTATTGTTGGCCGTGCGATGAAAACTCTTGGTATCATATCTCGTATAACTGAAAAGTTCAGACGCCCTACTTCTATGATTCGTTTATTTTGTGTTTTAGCTCGTTCACGGCTTGAATTTACATCTGTTGTTTGAAATTCTCAAACAAGTGCACAGTCTTGAAGTATTGAATCAGTGCAAAAAAGAATGATACGCATTTTATAAGATAGACACTTTTAGCGTCGCTTTTATTATGATTTTGAATTTCTTCTTAAGAGCGTTTTACTTAAGTTTTTGTCAAATAGAAGATTCGAGCGTGATCGGATTTTTTTTTTGCACAGGGTGGTAAATGGTTGAACTGATGCTAATCAAATTTTGAATTCTGTCTATTTTCGTGTTCCTTGCCGCGTTGCCAGAACTTTTACTGTCTTTTATACTATATTCATGTCTAATCTCTCACCACTGTCCCCTATGCAAATTTCATTTAATACAATCGCATCGTCTAGCTTGGACATCTTCACAGATCTAGGTTTTCCCCGGAACTTGGCAAGTCTAGTTAAAACCTGAAACTCTATTACATTTTGTGTGAACTGTGCGACCTATTTGTAGTCATGCTAATTTGTACATTTTAAGCTGTGCGTGTGCTGTGTTTCTTATTTTTGTCTTGTGTGCGCCAATGTGAAGACCCGCGTGGTTGTTTTTGGGCCCATTAAATAAACAAATTATTATTTTAAATTATTATTAGTATTATTATTATTGCTTCCAAATAGTATTAAGGCCCGTTCACACTCTTGCGACCTCTTAAACCTGGGTTCCTTAAAACTTCTTAAACCAGAGAACACACTGGCGCCATCTATTGGGAAGCAGTGTAAACTCGGCGGTCCGGCATATTTTTTTTATTTCTCGCGCATTATCCTTTCTTTCTTGGCTCGAAAAACTTTTGTCAATGTTATAAACGAGCCTTTCTATGGGTGTTACGCACATTTGACCTCAGAAATCCCGCAAAACCTTCGCTCTTGTGAAATGCAGTTCGAGGGTCACGGCATAGATGGCGCCACAATGCCAGTGGGTTCCCTCATTCTAAAAACATTTAAGAACTTTTAAGAGATCTCGTCTCTCTCAGTCGTACTCGGTCGCAAGAGTGTGAACGGGCCTTTATTGAGAACGTAATTTTATCGTTTAAATTATAGAGCTAAATTAGCTCTTTCCATAGCAATAATAACTTGGATGACATCCCATGGTTTCGAAGAGAAAAACTGGAAAAACCAGCGATCGCTTGTTCGCGCTAACAGTGTCGAACTTTGTACTTTACCCAACACTGTCTGAATGACAAACTTGTCGTTAAAGGGACACTGACAGGGTATTTATGATCGACAAGGTTGTTATTCGTACCTGACATATGAGAGCCCAACTACGCAGAAAACAATATGCGTCCCGAACTTCGTTTCCTTTCCGCCCGAAAACCGCCGACCGAGAACCGGCCAGTTTGAGTCGCACTCACGCTCTTCTGCGGGGTGACGTGCCATTTCTATGGTTTGGTTACAACGACCAAAGTAAATAAAGTCGTGGGTCATCGAAGGCACCCACTCAATACTAGAACTGGACAAAAAATATGATACTCATTTTCCGTAGCTTCAAAAAAGTTGTAAATACGTTGAATAGAAAAAGAAAGTTTCACAGCCACACGACTTCCCGTATCTTTCTCCTCCTCTACATTTCTTCTTCCTCCCCAGTCCAGTTTTGGTTTCGAGCAGTTCCGTTTTTTGACTTTATAAAAAATACAAGTGACAATGTAGCAAAATATTGATTGCTATTTGTACCTGACATATGAGAGCCCAACTACACAAAAAACAACAAGAAAACTTCTAAAACCATAATAATTCGAATGAAAAAAAAAAAAAACATTTGGGTGGTATCAGCGTCCCCTTAAAGGGGTACTCCACCGATTTTTTGAGCTACCTCAACTAACTATATTTTCTGACTCCCCGGCCTTTACTCTCTCCGGTATGCTATTTAGAATCGCGAAATTCATAATAGTTATTGCGAAATCGGTAAATGAAAATGATGCAAAAACCAACATTCAAATATACGCGCGCTTTTCAGGGCCGTGACGTCAGTGGCAGGCAGGCTTGCCAGTCGAGCAAGCAGCCAAAAAATAGAATATGCCAATCATTTGTTCCGTGCTGGAGCGCGGGTACTGCAGCGAGCTTCCCAAGCATTCATTTGACACCATGAAACTGCTTCGAATCAGTTTAAAACGAAATCTACAGCCCAAAGAGTGAACCCCTGCCTTCCACTGACGTCACATTTTCATTGTTGCCAGTAGAAACTTCGAGCTTGAAAAACACGGTGAGGACCAAAACTGTAAATTCAATAACTTCGCGAAAAAATAATATTGTGACCTAAAATTTGGGATACTATTTTCGCGATGTTTGTTGGTTAGTTTAGCAAAATTTCAAGCAAATCGGAGACAATGAAAAAATCGGTGGAGTAGCCCTTTAAGAGCGTGTCTGTGTTGTAAGTATGTGTACGGTGGGCGTCTATGAGAGCTCGCTCGACAGAACGATGGCCGGAGCGGTGAAAATCCCGCATGGGGTGCCCCTGATGCAATAAGCTGTTGGGAGCGAGGCTGGAACCGACTGCCGTGATTTCCTGCAAGGGAGAAGGCGAGACGTTACTAACGACAAGCCGTGCATCAATGGTGAACTTAAAAAAAACATTAGGTGCATTATTCCAATAGGGTTCATCAAATTCACAATCAACACTCAAGGCGAAGTACGAAGTTCAGCACTGACGCATGGCTTATTGGTAGTAACATCTCCCTCCCCCCTTGCGTGATACCGCGATAGTCCATTGGTCCGTTACAGCCTCCCTGCTACCAGCTTATCGTATCAGGGGCGGTTGATACGGGATTTTTACCACACCGGCCGGCGAAAAAAAAGTGGAGCGATTCCAAAAGGACGGAAAAAGAACCGAACTTCGTGCCGCAGCCCGATAAATACAAGCAGCGTGGAAAGTGAAGTCCAGCTAATCGGTGAAAAAGCACAACGCATGTCTATCCTGGACAGCGTGCTTGACTTGCTGAAGAAGATCGGCCTCAGAAAAGACCTCTAAACTCTCCCCAAGGCCCCCGCAACCCACATCCCTCCATCCCCTCTGTCCTTATCGTAGTGGACATTGCCAGCTGTAACCATGTACCAACTAACGTCCACCGAACCGAGTTCCGTCAAGTCAGCTCATATTATATCCCCCTATACCTTAATTTGTCTTGGAGTAGTTCTAGCCCGAGAGGTTTAACATTTCTTTTAAATCATGAGCCAACTAGCTCAAACCAAAATTTTACTCTAAAACACGTTTCTTCGAAATTTTAGGTCCCCAGGAAAAGAAATGCGTTTGTTTGATTAACAATTGGTCGGTCAATGCACGTCGTGAGATTACCTTTGCCGCTGTCGTGTAGTGGCAAAAATACCGTCTTATCCTTTTCGGGCAGAGTGATGGTGGCAGTGACATTGGCCTTCAAAACTCGGGCGCCACCCTTGGTGACTCTGCTGTAGATCACAATCATGTTGGTGCTTTCGACGTGTCGGATGCAACTCTCGGTTCTGATGGCGTCCTCGTGACGTCGCTGCTTTGTCATCACCACGACGCTTAGGTTCTTAACGGGCTCGCTCTTTTTCTCCAGTATAACCGTCCACGTTTCGGTCTGGAATAAATGTGCCCTTAACTGAACTTGTGTAAAAATAACGCGCCGTGTTTTCGGGCTTTTTTTTTTAGTGCACGCTAATGTAAGCACAGCAAGCGTGACTATTTTGTTCAGTCTACGAGCAGGAAAATCACAACGGGCAAAGCGGACACAAATTCGTTGGTGAGAGTGGTAAAGGATCGTCAACGTTTATGCCCGTCATCGATACGACCGATAAGTATCAGCTACAACGCGTGACAAGGCTTGGTTCCACTTCTACTGGTAATAGAGAGTGTTAATATGCATAGACGATTGCAAGCAGGGCATCCGGCCGCCGCCATGTCTCCGCTCGTGCTGGCAAGTGCGGGCAATTACAGGCTTGCCAAAGCTACGTTCACGCGCACGCTGCAAATGCTTGCACGGATGTGGCACAAGTGAGGCGCCGTGCTCGCAATTGTCTATTGCGTGTACAAGCAAGCGCAAGCGCTGTGCGTTTGCGTTAGCGTTGCATGGCGAATACACGTCGCCGCCATGCGCCAATCCAAGACGCAATTTGGTGTCCGCGCATGCGCATTGTGAAGCAAGCAACGCTAGCGCGAACGCACAATGCCTGCCTTCGATCGAATACGCAACACTAAAAGTCACAATACTTTTTTCACCCTTAAAGGCCGTCGATCAGATTCAAGATTCTGCAAGGCAGAAGACCCTCCTCACCATGGGGGAGGAGGAAACAGGCAACGCCCTAGTGAAGAAGCCATTTGTATGAGATATGTCTTGTCTCTAATACACAGACATGGATCATACCAGATATATGAGAGCATATAAGAACTATATAAGAACCATATAAGATATATAAGGACATATAAGAACTATATAAGAACCATATAAGATATATAAGAACATATAGGAACTATGTAAGAAACTTATAAGAAACTTATCACAAGTTTGTTATATTGCTCTTATATCTTATTATCTATAATATTATAGAGTTCTTATATGGTTCTTATATGCTCTCATTTATCTTGTATGATTCATATGTGTTTATTGCACACAAAAATTTCTCATACAAATGAGAGTTTTCAATGGGGCGGGGAGCAGGGTAGAAGAGGGGAGAGGAGAAAGCGGGGGAAAAGTGGGAAGTGCGAACTGGTCGTCAGCCTTTCAGCTGAGGCTGCCGCCGAAGCTATAAGCACAAGCTAGCCCGCGCTCCTGGCTGAGACATTCCTCCCTAGCGCGAGCGTTCGCTCTGCGGAAGAATTCTTCAAAGCAGCGCCCTCGAGCTCTCGTGCTTGTCGCATTGGCTGCAGTTTCAGCATAGCATGGAAGCTTCACACGACGGACCGAATCGTACCGCCCGCGGACAGAGTACCACGCGACCATCGCGTCATCAATTCCTTCGATCCGTGTCTCGTCCGAAATAGGAAAGCGCTTTTCACTCACGGGTTTTGTTTTTTGCGAAGGATTCACTAAAAACAGTGTTTAGCCTCGCAACAGCACGACGTTCTAACGCAGAATGTATTAAAGGCTTCCTGCGTTGTTCAGGGGACGCTCGAAAAGGGGCCTAGTTATAGGACTTGTTTCGGGTAGTAGAAACTTGAACGTAGAAGCTTGCCTGCTCTGCATGGTGCGGAACGCTTGATGGGAGCATCGTGACATTTCTCATGCTTTGTGGACACAGGCCGACACGACGGGCAAAGTCAATGGGGTGGAGAGGTGGGTGGAATCAATGGGGTAAAGCAGAGCCTTGTATATAGAGAGTTTGGCCAATGGGGGGAGCGGGTAGAGCCAGGCCATGCCCCACACGCAGAAAGAGGGCTTGACATGCTTTCGTGGCCAAACAGAAGCCGAAAATAATCCCCTAGTGCTGGTAGCGAGAAACAGCTTTCATAAGCGCGTAAGAGTTAAATCTAGGAACTCTAATTGTTTAAAAATATGGTGAACGTGATGTTTCGATTATGATCATGTAAAAAGATGTGAGAACCGAACGTGCCGCTCGAACTCTGTCTTGCTCGAACGAAGTTTGACCGCTAGGACGGCAGATTCCCGGCCCTTGGCATCTGGCGCACGGATCACGTAGATAGTTCTGCTAGATTTTTTTGTTTTGCATAACCGTAATCGAAACATTACGCGCACCATATTTTCAGTCACAGAGAGTTACCCCGACGCACTTAATAATTTTTGTTCCTCGCGACTACCCCAAGGATATTATACTATTCGCGGCTCCTGGCTAGCCACATTCGAATCTGTGAAGACTCCCTTTAACACGTCCCGCCTGCTTTCGACCAATGCCGCCTGCTCATTGGCCTTCTATACGTCCCACTGTATGGTCAAACTCTTTATATACGGCTGTGGGGTGGAGTCAATGAGGCGGAGAGGAGTGGAGATACCTGGAGCCGCAACTCGAGAAGAAATGCCTGGAGATTACTAGCTCTAAGTTGATAACCTTTCACGCACCCACACAATTGCAGGGCAATTTGCCGATACGCTTTAACCTCATCACAGATTTCTGCCTACGCATATCGCCTCTAATATAGTAACTTTTCCGCTGAATTTAGCAGAAAACTGATTTTACGTGACCATGCACCAATTCAGGTTATTTGCTAATTTTAGCGGAGAACCGCCTTTGTGTGCAACGATAAATACTAACAGATTCATAAATAATCACCCGTGTGGTTTCTAAAAATGTTAGTTAGTGAAAATAAACATAGGATTCCATTCAGAGACTTGCTGAGCGTTCTCGAAAACCATAAAATTAGTAAATTCTGAAAGTCTTGCTGCGCGTGGGTAGCATAGTAGCAAGCTAAAGCTACCACTCTTGCAATAGGCGCAAAGCTGGCGGCCCGGAAAGGCGGATGGTAAAAGACGGGAAAACACCTCGGGTGCGTTTTAATCCGAAAGCATTAACTGAACCATGGAGCGGAGGAAGCCGGCGTTGTCCGTAACCCCGAAAAACGGCAGAGAAATTCCCTCCGCGGAAAGGCTCTTAAGATGGCTTCGACGCGCCGGATAGTTCCAGGGCTACGGCGCCCCACAAAGAAGCCCTCTTTTGGGGTGGTCTTAAAATAAAATAAACTCCAAATTTCAGAGATTAACCTCACAGAAATAAACTCCGATAAAACCCGAATTTTCAGCGAAAAATAAACTGTGAAAAACACCTTCTGAATTTTACGAGAAATAAACTCCGAAAACACGGAGTCCTAATTATGACTGATGGTATATTCTCAGAACATGGCACCATGAGGTTTCATGTTCTGCCTCGCCCGAAGCTTCGACGGTGAGTATTAAACGCCAATGAAAGGTACCTTTTTGGTTTCAGGAATCGTCACTTCAACTATAAGGTCTCCCAAACGGGTAGTCGAACACTCTTGGTTGCATTTCTTTCCTGTCGGATCCAGAACGTAGACGTTAAAGGCTTGCTTTTTGGTGGTGGAAACCGTCACCCTGGTGTCTTTGCCAAGTTCTTCAGGTATCGGGAAGGCGATTCTTTTTTCTGGCGTTTTGTTGTCCAAGTCTTCGGTAGTTTCCACCAGCTGAAAATGGAAAGCGACCAGAGGGTTAACACACCCTCTGAAAGGTAAAACATTCACAATGTGCTGTTCCTCTTGAAAAAAAAAAGTATAAGCATTTTATGTCACGCTCGACATACACAAATAATTAGGGAGCAAGGGATCATCACGATGTCAAGAATGCGGGTAGTTTAACGATTTCTCTTCCATGCTACGACGTCCTCATTTTAGGAGCACACATGAGATACTATCAATGATACGCGCGAGAGAAGGAACCTTACGTTAGGCGGCATGGGCGCGTGCTCATCTGTTCGCTTCGTTAAACGTTTATGTAATGACGGTTCAGAACCAGGGATAGACACTTGAATAGTGCGACGCCAGGATCTCCTAATTCATAACTGACAATTGAGGTTGTAATTAAATTTCATTAGCGGCTGCCGTGGCAGCCGCGTCATCGCGCTGATAGCACGGAGCGGTCTACAGTCCGGCGTTCACCTTCATATTGCCGTTGGTTGTACCGCTGTGGGCTTCCTCTCCAACATTCGCGGCGCCTGACTGTAGGGTCACGTGTCATGCCCGCGGCTCGTGATTGGTTCTGCTTCATTCCCGCTTTTGGCACGGGCTTTTTACGATAACCTTTAGAAAAACCTGTTAACTTGTACTCGCGAAGGTGCCTTTTTTGTTTCTCTGGTACATGTGCAAATATTATTTTTAGCGTCATTTTTTAGTTTGATAATTTATTGACCGCGGCGCCAGGTAAAACATTATCTTGTGTACAATGACCCGGCCGTGAAAAAATTTCCCAGTATATGCGATGGCTCGCAGACATCCCCACTTTTCTTGGACATTAACGACTTCATAAGTGCACTAAAATGATAATTTCAACACTGAACAACCCAAGCACTGCAATTTTCGCCGAAAATAATTTAGATCAGTCATAAAATATCAATAAGCAGTAATTAAATGTTTGGACAAGTTTATATTCCTACGGCTCAACAGTTTCCTCGCATCGGGTCCTATAGCCCACATTCATTAAAATATCAATTTCTGTTTTTCTTGGAAAAGATCGTAATGTAACCGAGGGCTGTAATCGCCTCGTTATCATACAAAACTCAAATCGATTACAACTTTGATATTTCCCTGAAAATGTTTTATTCCACGGAATGTTCCAGAAAGCTGGCCGTGGGTGCGTCTAAACTTTGGTGGTGAAGCACCTGTAAAGTGTATTCTACCCCCGTCTTTAATTAATAAGAAGACCACTAAAAATAAACAAGTAAAAATAATATTCCTGCGTGATAAAGTAATTTACCACCGCGGACTTCAATTAACAAATGTAAATCGACAATTATCAAATTAAGTTCCTAAAATGCACTAACTATATTTTAAAATATTCACCCTAGCTGGCAGATTTCAACTAGAAATTTGCTGCTCGTCTTCCATTCGTGTGATGTAGTCGTTGTCAGGATTCAGACAACTTAATGATGCTGAAATTTATGAAACATTTGAGCCATGGCGAGACGAAGATACCCAAACAAAAATTGGCTGCATGTTCACAAGTAAGCATTAATTATTAAAAAAAAAAAGGAACCAGGCCTAGTGGAGGTTGAACCCCGTTCTTCGGCATGGCAGCCGCATTCGTTGCCAACTCCGTCTTTTTTTTTTCTTTGTTGCAACATTGCCAATTCCTCCACGCAACGGCCGTATATTTGATTATTAATTTTGGTGTCACCTTGATGCCCACCGGGTCCGACAGCCTTATCTTGACGGAATCAATTCCTTATTTAAAGTGTACTTTTTGTACTCTTATTCAAAGGCGGTTGTGCAACACCCTGTTCCTGACCACCTATTTAGAACTGCCACAAATAATCTATACTGCTCAAATCGAGCTACAAAGTGTACTACTGCCACCAATTCCCACTCCCCTTTGTACTGCCAATGGCCTTGAGGGTATTTTAAATAAATAAATAAATAAATATGGTCTCCGGAGAGTATTTGAAGTCGGTAAAAAGGAATCCTCTAGATATCCCAATGTGGCAGTCAATAATTCGTCAAAGGACGTAGGCTGCGCTCAGTTTGAGTTTTTATAAGTTTTAGCTCATTAAATCGTTATGAGTTAAACCTTTTATATTCGATGTAATTAATGTATTAGAGGCATTTTGCTGAAATGATATGACACCCACAAACGTGACCGCGGGCAATGAAGAATCACGATACGAGCCCAGCGGGCCAAAGGATTTAGCAGAGATACTCACAAAAACGGGCTTCTGGCTGTCTTCAAGGTGTGACGTGGTGGACAAGACGAAGGAAATCCCCATCGAAGCGATGATGTTCTTTTGGTTGTCTGCAAAGAAGTAGGCCGTTCCGCCCGTTTGGAGCGCCACATTTTGTAGCTTTGCATCTGCCGTTGGGCCAATAGCAAAGGTGTGGACGATGACACCTTTAGCAAGCACCATTGGGAGTACATTGGCGATCAATGGTGTCCCATTCTCGATCCCATCTGATATAAGAATAAGCGTGCCACCGCTTGCCAACGTGCCGTGGGACTCCAGCACCTGCCAAGGAGAACATGTTTCAAGAGAGGAAAACGTAGCGTTGCGCAGCTCCCCTTTGTAGCCTTTCTATAAAACATGTAATTAGACCATAGTGTCGTTCTATTGCAGATCGTACCGTTGTATCTGGAAGGTGCATAGCATCTAGCTAAGAATACCATGACCGCTACCACTTTCCTCCTAACATTTTCCTCGGAGTCCATTACAAAAAATTGGCCGTAGATATCATAGGTCTTCACCCATGTAACAACGTGCTAAGGGCTAGCTATGGGAAGGAAGCTCATGATAGCCATAGTTCTATAACAGCTCCGTTTCTAGATAAAAGCAAGCTGTGTGTAGGGTAACTCTAAGATTGCTGCTATATAAGTATAAATATCCACGGTCGATTTTTGGTTAGTCACTTCCTATGAAGACTCTAGAACGTCCATATTCAAAATTCCATAACGTGTATCTACGAGAGTACTAAATATCAGTCGGAAATTATCTATAAGGGAATCCCTAAGAATATCTTAGAACAATCGTAGACACAATTTGAGAGATATTCAGGTACTAAAATAAGAATAGAATACTCAGGCACCTTATGAACCACCGACAGGGAAACAGAAATGGTAAATTTGTCTACGCTAAAGATGTCAAAAATTTAGAAATTTGCGTATAGTTGAACAATATATATCAAAAATTTTCTGTGGAAGAGTTGAATTTTAATTTATTCTCAAGGCAAAATTTTGTATTTTCGCTTTTGTCATTGTACACGTAAATGAACGAGTGTTAATTTTCTGCCTATACAAAACGATTGAACATAATTAACTTCGTAAATTACTTAAGATGATATCGCAGTTGATTTTGAACTCAGACGGGATTTTTTTACGATCCCAGATGGCAGTGGGTGCCACTTTGTTTTACCTCATCGGAATCAGCAACAGCACTCCAGAGTGATTATGCGCAATATTTGCAGAATGTATAGGTAAAAGGACGTCCCTAATGTCACCCATACCTGACAAGTACAAAAAAGTACTGCAGCGAGAAATCAACTTTTTTTTTCTTCAGAGTTTTAAATGTATACCGATAAATAACAGTATAACCTTACGGCGTCATAAGCGTCCTAGCCCCAGTTAATGGAGAGCCAAAATTGATTACAAACGACATCAAGTGTCTTTAGAAAATCGCTATCAACCATTGAATTGCAATAGAGTTAATACACCCGAAGAATCAGGTCCTTCGACCGCCCACATTGATTTTTCGAAGGGCCATTTATTGAGTTAGTTAATGGGAGAGTATATGTTCTGAAATTTGACTCTTTCGCTATAATACTAAAATGCCAGTTGCTGATTTTAAATTGCCCTTGCATAATTAAAAAAGCACTGTGCCATGTTATAGCACATCCAAAATTGGACGCCATGGAGCGAATTTTCGTGGAAAGAAGCGACAAACTTCCTCCGGCAACACGCACATCGACCAAACCCTCACAAGTCAATAAGCTTCCTTTACGTTCAAATGCGTGTTTCTACGGCTTCACTGACGCAGTCATTCGTTTCCCAACTATTTTCCAGCGTGAAATGCCTATTTAAAAGAAACCCCCAGTACCAAGAATTTATACCTTGTTGGTTCGTCCGTACCTTTCCCCGCTGAATTTAGCGGCGAAATCAACATCACGCAACTGAACATCACGTAGCCTATACAACAATTTAGTTTCTGACCAAGTTTAGAAAGAACTTGGTATGAAGCTAACTAAGCACTACTTTAGATCTTCCGCTGAATTCAATGAAGAACTTAATGACCCAAGAGCAAAATACTAATTCAGTTTCGCCGCTAAATTTTACAAATAACTTAATGGCACGTTAACTAAATGCCAACCTGATTTACCAGTTACATTTAGAGGATAGATTGATAAACGATAGGTTTATTTCCGAATGAAATCTAAACAAGCTTAAACTATCGCTCCTTAATTCCAGCATGCTGTGCTTTATCGGTATTTGGATGCTCAAAAGATTTAAATTAATTCCGGTAAAGTCGAGTGTCAAAACATTTTTATTTCAATCACACTGTGGAGTCCTTCCAGTGAAAACCTGGCTGGAAGATAAAGGTTTGTTTGTTCCCTGGTCCACAAACTGCTTATTATGTAAACGAGCAGAAACAGTAGAGCATGTATTTATTGAATGTTGGGACGCTGTGTTCCATTGGGACATCCTCCAACGCACCCGTCAGAAAGATCTTCCAGTTAACTCTCGCGGTATTCGGTATCTATCTGTAGAAAATGAAAATCAAGTTGCTTATGACATGATCATGCTTTTGAGCCTCCACAGTATCTGGAAGACAAGAATGAGTATAAGGCACGCGGATGTGAATGTTCGCACTGTGCGTGAAAACTTTATTGAGAGCACTGTGTACGTTAGAGAGGTTTACCGCGCCCTGGGCACACCTCCGGATTGGTTACCACTGTTAGATGATTTGGCCATTTTAAACATATTCCAGCAAGCCACGGCTACCATTTTGTGGCTAACATGTTTTAGCCTTTCTCTTTTGTCCCTCGTGTAAAAATGTGTCTAATCAGGCAATAAAAAAAAAAAAAAAAAAAAACACGGTGGCCTAGTTAGTAGCGTGTCTGGCTCACGACAGAAGGACCCCGCCTAAAATTCTTCAAATTTTTCTTTAAGGCAAATGAATTACGCTATAAAGTGAAATCATTTGAGACATGCGGCGCTCTTTATATCGCATTACATGTCAACTTTCAATCCACGCGTAACTTCACGTGAGCGTTTTTTTTTTAAATTCCCACGCGACGTCATATGGCTGTTACGTCATGACCCCATCGACCAATCAGGATTTTACCGTCACGACGCCACCGATGCCGACGCTGGCTTTTCTTCGACACGAGATCGCGTTAAAACAGGTAATCAGCGACAGATCGGCGCAGGAACGAGCGAATAACAACAAAGAGGAGGTCTACTGACGTCCTTCCTACGACTTAGAGAAGAGATCTAACGAAATGCTTTCGTATTGTCCAGTTTAGGAACAAGAAAGTGGGTAACCAGCACGTTAGTATACCCTGGGAAGACCATTAGGGAGTTTTCGCAGACGGTTTTCCCAGCTCCTCTACGCTCTCCGGAACTAAGACACAACTATTGCCCATGCGCGGCGCTAGACTTGCCTGCAGAATCACGAATTTGGTAGCGGGTTGCGTAGAATATTGTGCGACAGCGGAAATGACCTATGAAAAATTCCTATTTTAATCTTGCTCTTTTCCACCCTTTATTAGAATATGAACGTTTTAAACGCAGGAATTGGGGATTGTTACAAGCTGCCAGTGTGGCGTCGGACTTTAGTGTTGAACTTCGGTGCGATAAAATTAAGGGTTGGGTTAGTTGGCGACACATCATACAAATCAGAAAGCGCAGAGGGCAATAACAAGAGATAGAACAAGCCACGTCATGGGCATCTGACGTCTTAATGCAATTGGCGACGTGCGACGTCGAAATCGTCACTGTGGTTGGCTTTCTACGAATGGCCAAATGCTGACTATGACGTCGGCAAAGGATTTTTCATCGACAGAAATAAGGGAAATGTAAGAACTTCAATTTCGGCGGTGTTGGCAGTGTTGGTTTTAGGCGCTGGACTTTAAGCTTCCACCATGCTTATTACCAACACCATAGCACTTGTTTTCGCAAGGTAATGACGTCACCGAGAGGTAATCATACGAGGACGCCACCTAAACATCTCGCCGCTAATAGTAATGAAAGACAAAGAAAAAGCGATGAATGTGATAATTAAATACGACAGAAAGGCAAACACAATTTAAAACAAAGTGTGAATGAGGACGTCTTTGGGCATCACGTAAATTAAATAGTACATAAATGCCTTATGATACTCTTTACAAACCTTTAAAAAATGCCTAATGAAAATAAATTGAGGTAGTTCAAATTTCTTTGCCAGACAGGCCTATGGACGGTGCACTAAGGCCCGTATCCCCTTTTAGCTTTGATAATGAGGGCCTCATAAATCTCTGAAGTACGGTTATGCTATCGAGTGCTTTAGACTATAGTCGGTTACAAGTCAAGAAGGTAGGAGAAGCTCCTCCCACAAGTATGATGCGCCTGTTTCAAATCTCTCCGCAGTCGAAACAAGAGTTCACTGGAAACGCTCCTTGTTCCACTTCAATGGATTCCCACTTGTCTCCGATCCCACTTTTTAAGAAAGCGACCTTTGTATTCATCGGAGAGGGAACCGAGCCCTTGAAAGCAGCCTTTGTATCCATCGGGGGGGAAGCTAATCCCCCAAAGTCGTATTTGTTTCCGTCGGTGGGGGAGAACTCTAATTTCCCTCTCGTGGCTTCCACAATGCTAAGGCAAAGTCGAAAGATAAAGCAAATATATACAGATAGGCAAGACCCTCCTCGCGCGTTGGCCGCGACGTCAGGGAAACGGTGCGACGCTATTGGATGCGAAGGTGGCGGAGGGATATCCGATTCCCTTTGAGGGGCATTTGCCGCTACCTTCTTAACCTGTAACTGACTATAACTAAAAACTGGGGAGCAATCGCTGTCTCTCACGTATCCCTACGTGAGACCTATCTCTACGTGTCCAGCCGGCATCGACTTGAGTGAAAGGGCGTTGTCCGACGTTAACACACCTGCCAGTTTGGTACAGATATTGCCGCGCGCAGGGGCTGAGAAAGCAACGCTCGATCACGAACCTCCAGAAAGTTCTCTTTATTCTTGTCCAGACGTAACTTCTATCGTTTATCCCTGCTTTAGTTGTTCCAGAAAGTGTGTGCTCATTCTCGCCCCGAGCGCGCTACGCTCGAACCTTCTCCGCCGAATCTTCGAGATAGTGGCTCACCTTAGATAAGAGGCCTCCCGCGACCTTGTCGATTCAGTTTTCGCCTCAGCGTTGGATCTTGCTGCTTCGCCGCCTTCGACGCCCGCGACGCTCTGTTGTTATCTTTCTTTCTCCTTTTCCTTTTTGGGCACAAGTTCGCCCGATTAAACGTTCAGTTTACTCCGTTAT